CATCTCAAAAAAAAAAAAAAAGTCGGGGTTTCATCGTATTGGTCAGGCTGGTCTCGAACTCCTGACCTCAGGTGATCCATTTGCCTCAGCCTCCCAAAGTGCTGGGAATTACAGGCGTGAGCCATCAGGCCCAGCATCTCTAAAAAAATTTTAAAAATTAGCTGGGCATGGTGGAGTGCACATGCATGATTCAGAGATGGATTGTAGATTTAGGCTGTTCAAATACGGAATATAGGGGTTTCCTTCTGTGGCCCTCTCCTTCCTAGAGTCCCCTCTCACTCTCCTGCATCATCCCACGTGATCCTGGCCTTCTTTCCTGGTTCTTCTAGTTCCTCTGGCCAGAAAGAAGTTAGTCTTCCTACTGAAGTTGTAGCTGGTCCTATGCCTTTGTGATGGTGACCACAGCCATGTTTGGGCAGAGCTGCAAAAATTGAGATCTCAATCTACATGGATCAATTACTCCCAGTTTGAGTCTCCTCTAAAATGCATATGTATTTCAGTCTCCAGAGGCCTCAGGTAGTTGTTTTCTTGTGTTTTATCCACAGAGCCTATACCTGATCTTTTAGGAGGATTGTTATATTGGGCTGTCACTAATCCATGTTTTTTGGTTTTAAAAATTGCAGTTTGGTTATTTTGAGTTGCAAGTATGCTGTATTTATCCTGAGTAGAAGTATTTTGTCAGATAAAAGTATGTGAATGCTTTCTTCCAGTATGTGACATGCCTTTTCATTTCATTAGTGTTTTTGAAGAGTAGATATTTTAATTTTAATAAAGTCTAATGGATCATTTTCTTTTATGGTTGTGCTTTTGATACGCTATTTTTAATTTTTATTATTTCAATGGCCAGTTACTAGATTGATGTCTTATCTAAGAAATCTTTACCTACATTTGCAAAGATTTTTTATATTTTATTTTAGACGTTTATACTTTAGCTCCATGTAGTGCATTTAGAGTTTATTTTTGCATATAAATTGAAGGTGAGAGTCAAAATTGATTTTTTGGTTATGTTGTATTTAGTTTCTGAAAGACTATCCCGTCCTTATTCTGACAACTTTGTCAGAAGTCACTTGACTGTATGTGTACAACTTTAATTTTAGACTCTGTTCAGCTCCATTGATCTGTATGTCTATCCTTACACCCAATACCATACTCTTGATTATTAATGTTTTATACTGTGTTGAAAACTCCCAACTTTGTTCTTTTTCAAAATTCTTTTGGTTGTCTTAGGTCTTTTGCATCCTAAAATAATGTTTTATAATCTCTTCAGTCTTTATGGTTTTTGTTTCCATCATGAATGAATGCTTGATATCAAAGCAAATCAAAATTTTCTTGATTTTTCTGATGTATATATGATCAGAGTTTTTCAGCATAGCTAGAATTTGCTGTCTTTTTAAATGTCATGTCTTTTAAAATACTCACTTATATAAAATATACATATTTTCTGGTGTTAAATATGTGTGTATTTTTAAACCTCACAAAATATTATCTTATACTCTCAATCTTTGTTTAGATTTGCCTATGTATTTGTTGCTTTGTGTCACAGGTGTTTTTATCTCATTCTCATAATTTTTTTTTCCACTCTCATTTTCGAAAGACATATTTGCTGAGTACAGGATTGTATGTTGGTATTTATTTTTGTGTTGGAGATACTGTTCCATGTCTTCTGATTTAAATTATTGCTGTCAAAGTCAACTATCAGTCTGATTATCCTTCTTTTGAAGGTAGTTTATCTTTCTCCTTGGGCTACTTTTAAGATTTTCTCCGTGTGTTTTTCTAGTTGCACCATAGTGTGTCTTGGTGTGGATTTCCTTTATGTATCCTGCTTGGGATTTGTTGGGCTTTTGAATCTTTGACTTGATATATTTCATTGGCTCTGCAAAATTCTCAGCTATTATTTCTAGGTGTTTCCTTTGCCTCATTCTTCTCTTGTTTTGGGATTTTGATGAAATAGATATGAATCTCCTTACTGTATCCTCTATGTCAGTTATGTTTTCCTTTGTTGTTTTTGTCTTTTTGTCTCTCCATGCTGCTTTGTGGATAATTTCTTTTGCTCAGTCTTCTAGTTCACTGATTCTTTTATTTCTATCTAATCTGCTGTCTTAGTCCATTCAGGCTACTTTAACAAAATACAGTCAGCTCTCCATATCTGCAGGTTCTACATATGTGGATTCAATCAACTGTAGATGAGGAACCTGTGGCTATGGAGGGCTGACTCTATTATGCCATTTTATATAATGAACATTTTATGTAATTCATGGGCACTTAGTACATGTGTGGAGATAAGAGGGTGGGGTGTCCTGGAACCAATTCCCTGCAGATACCAAGTATTGAACTGTACCTTAGACTGAGTAATTTGTAAACAATAAAAACTTATTTCTCATGGTTCTATAGGCTGGAAATTCCAAGATCAAGTTGCCAGCAGATTGTCTGGTGAGGGTTGCATTCTCTGTCTCAAAGGTGTCTCCTTTTTGCTGTGTCCCCATGTGGCAGAAGGAGTAAATGTGGTCTCTCACACCCTTTTAAAAGGGTACTCTAATCCTATTCTTGAGGGTAGTACCCTCAAGACCTAATCATCTCCTAAAGTTCCTACTTTCTAATACTATCACACTGGTGATTAAGTTTCAACAAATTAATTTTGAAGGGAGACATTCAGAACATTGCACTGTTCTTAAATTATGAGTTGAGCTTTAAATTTTAATTATTCTTAGTTTAGTGTGCTTGATCTTTTCAGATCTACTCTGTTTTTTCCAGGATCCTTTTTCCTACAAGTTTTAAAAAACTTTTGTTCCTTTAAATATAAAGTTTTGTATTATAGAATTAGTGACTGATCATTCTAAGATTTAAAGTCTCAGATCTTTTATTTCTACTGATTGTGGCTCATGGTGTCTTATTTTCTGTTTGTTTGGCTATAATGGAGGCCCCAAATGAAGGCTTCTGCTACTAAAGAGGATTTGTGTTTGCTTCAGTTAAAGAAAAAGAAAGTTGAATTAATTCTTTCAGCCTTCACTTTTGCCTTGGTAATTCCTTATGCCTTTTCAGCCATTTCATACTCTTTTAAGATTTTAAAAAGTATTTTTTCTAGCTATTTTAGTTTTCTTAGTGGGAGGGTTAGTGTGAATAATCTATTACCATAAATTAAAAATATTATCAAGTTTTACTAGGTTTTAATTTAATTCAGCTTTGCATTCTTTTAGATTCGCTCAGCTTATTTTGAGTTAGTTTCTGCATTGTGCCAGCGCATTCCACAGTTGATGAAAGAAGAAGCATCCAAAGTGAGCCCATCAGTTCTACTTAGCATTGATGACAGTGACCCAATTGTCTGCCCAGCTCTCTGGGAAGCTGTACTCTATACACTTACAACTATTGAGGTAGGTAAGAGAGGCACATTTAGTACACTGAGGAATACTTGTCTTTTAATTGTATTTTAGAACCCTTAGGTATCATGTGACAGCCTATGAGATAAGAATATCTAAAACTTATTGGAAAAATGCTTTCTTGGAAATAAAATAAACTTGGCATAAGTCTTCAACTGACTAAAATGGCATAGAGTTTTTATTTTATTTTGTTTAGCCAGTATTCTGTAAACCTTATGTGGCCTAGTGCAGTCACCATATCTGAATTTTATATTTAAGATGAAATATAATTAAGATTGAAATATAATTGTCCCTTTTAGAAAGCAGCTTTTATAGAAATAGAAGTTAAATAATTATTTCTAATCAATAATGTCCTGTAAGTATGTCGAATATATGATCATTATATGTAACCACATTTATAATTTTTAATGGTGGTGAGAGATTTTAGCTTTTTTTTTTTTTTTTTTAAATCTTCACCTTAAGATTTTAGCTTTTTTTAAGGTAAAATACTGTTTTTCTTTTTGGGAGTCTATATGTTTTCTCTTTTAATTGGGAAAAGTGTGTTTATGATCTCTAATTACTACTACAATCTTTTCTTTGGTTAGGACTGTTGGCTTCATGTAAATGCAAAAAAGAGTGTGTTTCCCAAGCTGTCAGCTGTTATTCGTGAAGGTGGTCGGGGTCTAGCTACTGTCATATATCCTTACCTTCTGCCATTCATCAGCAAGCTCCCTCAGTCCATCACAGATCCAAAGTTGGATTTCTTCAAAAATTTCCTCACATCTCTAGTTGCTGGGTAAGAAATTTAAATTTTTGATTTTTAAAGCAAAACAGGTTTTCTTACTTTTATACTCACTATTTCTTTTTTTTTTTTTTTTTTTTT